CTTGGTTCTCTTGTACTACAGTACATATCACCCCCAGCCTGTTCTACACACCACCCCCATGCTATACTGCACACCATTATCAGCCCCCACCACACAACAAGATTTTATTTATAGAGCACCTTTCACGTCCGGAGGACGTCCCAAGGAGCTGGACAGTTGGGTCAGGACCCAAGCAGGGGGGAAATGGTCAGGGTGAGGGAAGGGAGGGAGCGAGGAGGGGGTAGAGAGTCGAGCATCTCAACAGCATCTCCAGCCTGTATTGCACACCATCTCCAGTCTGGCCTACACATGATCCCTCAACCTGTAATGTCTGATACCCCCACCTTATTAGGCGCAACTCCCAGCCCTGAACCTTGGTCATTTTCAATCTATGACTGTTTGTGGGACATTGCTGTGCGCAATTGGCTGCCGCGTTCGCCCACAAATATACAGTCAATTCACTTTACAGTGTGTTCTGTGAAGCGCTTTGGGACGTCTAGAAGACGTGAAAAGCGCTATATCAAATGCAAGGATTATTATTATAAACCATGTTCAACCCCCATCATCACACTAGTTCCCACCCTGTATTGGGCATCATTCTCAGCCTGATGTAAAGGAAGTGCTTGTAATGATGTCAGTAAAAACGGTGCCCTACTAACCCCTTATCAACCTTCCCGCTCCCTCCACTCAGCAGACTCTGGCCTGCTCCACATCCCCCATTGGTGGTCGGCCTTTCTGGCCCTACCATTTGGAACTCCATCCCACATTCCCTTCGCCTCCTTCAAGGCACGTGTCAAAACCCTCCTCTTCAACCGTGTCTTTGGCCACCCTCCCTGCCCTCCACCCTCCCTGATCTCAAGCCCCTGCTCGCTCGGGTCCAAATCCCTGACTGTCCAGCACTTGGGACATCCTCCCAATGAGAAAGGCGCTTTACAAATGTAATTTTATATTTTGTATTGTAAAACCTTGATCAGAAAACTGTAAAATGGAGGGCCATTTTCTAACTGACCTAACATTTGCAAGAAAGTTTGAAAAGAAGTTAAAAGGCAGGAATTTCAAATCCAAGGTGTGAAACTGAGGAGAGATGTAGGTAATTTCACTCTTATATTTTTCCCCAAATACTTGTTCTTTGGTTGTGATGCTTGTAAAGGCTCCCTCTAGTGTCAGATATGTTATCTGCCGTTAACGCTGAGAAACTAATAAACATCTTAGGATTCGCTCAGTTCTCTCAGTCATTTTTATCATTGCTTTCATTACTGATAATAATCCTTGCATTTGATATAGCACCTATAATACAGAAGCACCTCAAAGAACTTCATAGGTGATTGTTGTAAAGTGAGGTAACTGTTTCTGTCTCCTGACCAATCAATAATTCGCCAGATAATGTGGGTCACTTACTTCATAGCTGTTTATGGGATGCTGCCATGTGCAAATTGGCTGTCGTATTTGTCTACAAAATACGCATCCACTACACTTTTCAATAAATCCTGTGAAGCACTTTGAGACATCCTTCTGTTGTGAAAGGTGCTATATCAAATGCCAGGATTATCATTATTATTTGTAGGCAAAAGCAGCAAGAAATGTGTGCTATACCAAACACAAAGTTCATTATTATAATAATATTGCAACAGTGAAAACCCCTCTCCTCCTCCTTACAATTTATAATTTGTCCCTTGTAAGTGGAAGAAAGTTAATAAGTTAAATACCCTTCCTGGGTTACTATATTTTAAGTCTTAGTTTCTAATTATTCTTCATTGTATAGTTTCCTTATTTACCATTTGAGAAAGAGAAAAGTCCAAATTTATAAAAGTCTAATGTGTAAATTTGTAAACTGTTTTCTGTGGAGCTTTGTAACAGCAGTGAAAAACTGCTGGACCCCACATTTTCCAAAATCCTTAAATTTGAAAACAATGATTGTAAGGCTCAAACCAGGAGGAATCTGGGGCCATGATTCGCTATCCAGTAAAGAAGTGAACACAACAACAACAAAACAACAAAATTACATTTATATAGCAGGCTTAAGTTGCAAAGGGTCGATTCAGAACAGATGGTGGGAAATATTTATTTACCTGGAGGGGAATTAACCACTGAAACAGATTACCAGGAGGAGTGGTTGGGGGGTGTAACATTGGACTAAAATGTAAAAACACCTTTTTGCTGAATTGGGAGGGAGGATGGTAGGGTGGGTATTCTGGAAGGATGAAATCATTATATGAAACACCGGGCTGACCCAAGAGAAATGAGGTCAAATGGGCCTTCTTCATCAGAACCGGTTTGCCATCGGAGTGAATTAGAGTTGAAAAAACAGATACCTGATCCCGCATAAAAATAAAGTGACGCAATGTCAAGTTGCAAGACCAGCTCTTTTAAAAAGCATTTAAAGAGGTTCATGTGAAGTCCAACTCCAAGGAGCTGGGCCCAGACCTGGTAAACTCATTTGTTGGTGGCCTCTCACAATCCCAATGAGAGGAGGAATTTCTCCAGTCTAGAACAGATACAAATTCCGTGTCCCAGAGGTGCGAACACTTCAGTTCTACCCTTGAGCCATAAATGTCTCTCGCAGAAGGGCAAACTCCTTGAGGAAACCGGGATGAATGGACGTGGCTATAAATCCTCCGTTATCCAACCCCAGACACGGAGCCACGGTGTCTTGACGCTTGCGGAGGCAGAAGTATGTCCCTGAAGGAGGCTGACAATGAACAATCTCATGTTAAAACAATTCATCTTGAAATCTTGTGTGTGTGTGTGTGTGTGGGGGGGGGGAGGGGGGAGATTGAGGTCTAACTGATGGATTCAGCGAAGAAGCTCGACACGGGAACACAAAACTCTGAATTAAAACAGCTGCATTCACAACGACTCGTCCTTTTGCATCTGAAAGCCCCGCAAACCCGTACCGGGGCCGAGGTTTTCCTTTGCACAGAAAAGTTTGGGAGCATTCTGCCCCCAGAAACAGGAGAGGGGGGGAATCACGGGGGCCGAGGCCAACCTTTACCCTCTTGCACCTCCCGGAGCCTGAATGCAAAGACAGAAATAATAATAATAATAATAATAATAATCCTTGCATTTGATATAGCGCTTTTCACGTCGGGAGTACGTCCCAAAGCGCTTCACAGAACACACTGCAAAGCGAATTGACTGTATATTTGTGGGCGAATGTTTGCAAATGTTTGCAGCTCCGAAACGGGTTAACGTTTCGAGTCCACAACCCCTCCTTTTTTTTTTTACCGGAACACAGATCCCCCCTTTCAGACGACAGGAGATATATTTTTTTTGCAGCGTTTCAGCTGTCGCTTCTTCGGAGCTCTGCGGCATTCAACAGCAACACCTTCGCTTTGCATCCGTTCCTCCCAGTGAGACCGGTTGGGGAAAGAGTTCCCCGTCCCTGACCGGGTGGGGGTGGGGGGGCAATTTTTTTTATTGCTTCCCGACCTTTTCCTTTGTGGGAACGGGGTGCAATGCAATGCAATGCAAAACGAACCCCCCCCCACGGTTGCGCCGCCAACAGTTAAATACGAATTAAATTAACATTTTTTTTAAAATTAAATTAAAAAGGGACAATCAAATGAGCCCATAGAGAGAGAGAGACAGAGACACACACACACACACACACACGCGGACAGACACCGCCCTCCCGCCCCCGTTGCCTTCCGCAGAGGGCGGTCGATACCCGCTCCGGACTCGCAGTGGAGCTGCAGCTCCGCTCCGCTCCGCCCCGCGGGGGTCCCCCTCTGGCGCCGCCTGACGTAACCTTCCGGAGTGGGGGCGGAGGGCGCTGGAGGGGGGCGGGTTGAGGGGGTGGGGACCGTGTCCCGGTTCCCGCTGCCCCCCCACCCCCCCACCCCTCACGCTCGCTTTCGCCGGTTGCGGGGACACCGCCCGCGGCGGCTGAGCTGCGCGAGGCGCTCGAGCAAAGGGTGGGTGTGTGTGTGGTGTGGGGGTGGGGGTGTGTGGGGGGGTTCCCGGGGCGCCGCTCCCTCCCTCCCTCTCTCCCCCTCCCTCCCCCTGTGGGTGGGTGGAGAATGCTGCAGCCCAGGAGGTGAGGTCGTGTCACACCGCTCAGCTCCGCGCCGTGACTCTGACCGCCCGCCCGCCCCTCCCTCCCTCCCTCCGCCCCTCCGTCCGTCTGTGCAGCAGCTCCGGAGGCAGCGCTCAGTCACTCACTCACTCACTCACTCGCTCAGACCCGAGACCTCGATGGTGCAGTAAAGGCGAGTCAAGGCGGCGAATCCAGAGCACGTTACCCCCCCCCCCCCCCCACCCCGGGTTTCTCCCCCCCTCCACCGCAGGGAAAGGGGAGAAGGAACCGCATCGCATCGCCCCCCACCCCCTCCCTCCCTCCTCCTCCCCCACTCCCGCACACCCCCCACCCACACCCCGGAGCGGGAGCAAAATGTAAGTTTTGGTGCATTTAATTCCGCGGCTGCTCTCTCTGTGTGTGTCTGTCTGTCTGTGTTTTGATGTGGCCACACGCCGGCAGGGCACTGGGCACTGGGGAGGGCAGGGCACTGGGCAGGGGAGGGCTGGGCACTGGGCAGGGCACTGGGCAGGGGAGGGGACTGGGGAGGGCAGGGCACTGGGGAGGGCAGGGCACTGGGCAGGGGAGGGCACTGGGGAGGGCAGGGCACTGGGCAGGGGAGGGCACTGGGCAGGGGAGGGCACTGGGCAGGGGAGGGGAGGGCACTGGGGAGGGCAGGGCACTGGGCAGGGGAGGGCAGGGCACTGGGGAGGGCAGGGCACTGGGCACTGGGGAGGGCAGGGCACTCGGCACTGGGGAGGGCAGGGCACTGGGCAGGGGAGGGCACTGGGCAGGGGAGGGCTGGGCGCTGGGGAGGGCACTGGGCACGGCGTTGGGCAGGGGAGGGCACGGGGCAGGGGAGGGCTGGGCACTGGGCAGGGGAGGGCTGGGCGCTGGGCAGGGGAGGGCTGGGCACTGGGCAGGGGAGGGCTGGGCGCTGGGCAGGGGAGGGCACGGGGCAGGGAAGGGGAGGGCACGGGGCAGGGCAGGGCACTGGGCAGTGGGGGGGGGACGGGGGCTTTTGATCACGCTGCGATCCCGGTGATGTCCTATCTCTCGCTCCGCTACGTTGGTATCCAGAGCGATCGATGGTAATTATTCGTTTTCCCCCTTAATTTCTTTTGTGTTCAGACTTCGGGTGCAATCCAACCCACAGTAACGGGGTGTGTGGGGGTGTGTGTGTGTGTGTGGGGGGGGGTGGTCTGCCCGGTGGTGTCATTTTCCTGCTGCCCTTCTTTGTATGAGGAATAAAACGACGATTTAATTTGTGATGTGGCATTTACTGTGGTTTGATCTCTCCCCCCACCCCCCCCCCTCTCTCGCTGGTCATTTGGATGCAAAACTGTAGAGGACGATTGCAAAAGTGTATTCAGTTGCGGGTCCGTTTGCTTTGCAAATTTTATTTCTGTTTCATATGGCGTTTGCCAAGTGATTCACGTTGCGATCGATCCCCACCGTTGTGGCACTTGGAAAGGGAGGGAGGGAGAGAGCGAGGGAGGGAGGGAGGGAGGGAGGGCGACACCAACTATATTTTGAATAAATATCTCTTTGACTCCCAGCTCGTCCTTTTGCAAACAGACCGCTTATTTGGAGAACTTAATACGTTAGTGATTTTGAATTGCAAAACCGTGCACTCCACATGGAAATTTAAAGGCAACTGGTTCGACATTTCAGGAAACCTTCACAAGCTCGTGCCACAGACACCATTTGAATTTTATATAATATATACACATATATATATATATTTACAAAACATAAAAACCAAACGCTCGTTCCAATTTGCGCGCCTGTGACCCGTCCACAGCCCAAATCGGTGCAAAGATCCTTCCAACCGAACCCCGGTTTGCAGTGCAACGCAGCGACTGCACAAGTCGCGACTCTTTCGGTGCAAAAGGGCCTTTTGAGTTCGAGAGAGAGAGAGAGAGAAAAAAAAGCGAAACGAAAAACACTTTTAAAGAGCGCGGCTCAGCCGATCGGAATTTGGTGATATTTTCAGGTCCCAGAGTTGTTGCGATCGGAATAAAAGATAAAAGTGGTGGTGGTGGGGAGGGGGTGGGGGTTGGGGGGGGGGATGTGTGGCTGATCCTCATGACAAGCCAAACCTTGAAGGGTTGCATTGGAATAAATCCAATCTGAATTTCAGAGTTTGCAGTGTTACTTTGCACTGTACCTGCACCCCCTCCCTCCCCCCCCTCTCCCTTACACACTACTTAACTACTTATCATAAAAATAGTGGCTACTGTAAAGCAGGAAAAACAACCACCCTTTTTAGGTGTGCTCGTTCCTCCTTTCTGGCTGGGTTTGTGGCGATGGGGGAGTGGAGCTGGAGTTCTGTCAAGTTCTCAGCTGCACACACACACACACACACACACACAAAAAGGGCCACAGTCTTGCATAACAGTCTGCCCTCTCGCCCTGGTGTGGGCAAATGGCGAGGGAGGGTGTGTGTGTGTGTGAGAGAGAGAGAGAGAGAAAGAGAGGAAAGATGAGAGGGAGAGGAAAAGAGAGATTGAAGAAAGCAAAGAGGGGGTGAGAGAGAGAGAGAGAGGGAGGGAGGGAGGGAGGGGTGAGAGAGAAAGGGAGGATTGTGGACCCTGCAGAAGGAAGGAAGCTGCCCTGAGAGCAGCTCAGTTGCACCCTGTGCTGGAGAGGAGGTGGAGGGGGTAATATAGGGGTAATTGTTGGCAGAGATGGTGAGAAGCTCAGAGTGAGCCCCTACCCCTGTGCGCCTGTGTAGTCACCACCACCACCAGCTGCTGGTCTGGTCTGGGCTGAGCTGAGCAGCGCTGGGAACACAAAGCGGTGCTCTGAGCACTGATTGATGAGGTGCGAGGCTGCTGCTGCTGCTGCTGCTGCCTGCTGCCTGCCCTGCCTGCCCTGCCCTGCCCTGCCTGCCTGCCCTGCCTGCCTGCCTGCTGGTGGATTTCTGGCAAGATCGGTGCATCGGAACTGAGCCGGATTCTGGGGTCCTTGGGGTGGGGAAGGGGGGAGAAGCAATCACTATCCTTTGCAAAGCGTAAATACATTCTCCCCCCCCACCCCACCCCACCCCCCCCCGAACCAGAGGCTCTCTACACTTTAACCAGTCTCTGCAGTAACCCCCTCTGCGACTGTTTTCCCCCTCCTCTCGTGATTGCCTGTGACTCGGGTTTGTGCGCCTTTCACCACCATCAGGAATTTTGTACAAACAAAATGGACTTAAGACAGTGAGAGAGGGAGAGCACTGGGCAGTGGTTCCGAGTGCCAACAGATTGCAAGTCCACAGGTGCCCACAAAATACACTCCACAGTAAATCCTGTGACTTGAGATGTGAAAAGGCGTTAAATCAAATGCAAGGAATATTATTTTGAAGTCATACCCTTGAGATTCCCCAGAAACGCAGCCAGAGCAATGCCGGCCATCCCTAGTGTGGACAATCAGTGTTGCTGGAATACAGTATTGGGTTTGCTGACCTCTACTGCCCTCATATTTCCATTGCCAACAGTCTCCTTACATTTTTTTTACCATGAAACTAAACTGCCTTATAACTACCTCAGCCACCCTTGAGCCTAAACACCATTATCAGATTGGCCTCCTTCTGCGCTGAACGTTTTTCTATGTTAACTTTCAAACAGGTACTTCCAGGAGATGAATTAAGCCTGTCTGTTATCTGCACCTACTATTGTGAGTCCTGACCAATAACTTGTTTACTGCTCTTGTGCATGTGATCCACTGCCAAGGAAAGCACGTTTTAAAGTAAAAAAACAACTGTTGGATGCTGTAATATCACCTGCATCTTAATAACTGGATGGATGTCTGCTCTTTCAACTTATCAAAAGTGCAAACAAACTGTGAAAATAGTGTCTGTACTATATTTTACAGTTTAAAATTGGAGTCAATGTATCCTGTGTTTTTTTTGCCCCTTTACCCTTTCGCTCCTCCGTGTCTTCAGCTGTTATTTTACTAACTGTCTTGACAGTTTACATGACGGGGTGGGGCACTGAGTTATTAAGTTTTCTTTTTGTCCAGCGATTACCTCCCCTATATAAAAAAATGCTTATGGAGGTAGGACTATACCAAACCTCATAGTAGGAGTGATGGAGCTCCATTCAAAAAAGAGCCTATCATTTTAGTAAGGCCTTATCACTCCAGCAGTGATTATCAGGATCGCTCCATCGCCATACTGTTTCCTTGCTTTCTCTAACTGAAGAAAAGGAAAAAAATAAAAAATAAACCTTGGCAAACTCTGGGCTGTTCAGCAACTTGGGAGGTCTTCCTGACATGAAAGGTGTTCTAGAAATGCTGTTGTTAAATTAAAACATTACCTGCGAGAAGTGTGTTGGTTGTGGTTTGTTGCTATTTTAAAAGTAAATTATTGAAAATAATAATCCTTGCGTTTGATATAGTGCTTTATTATGTCTTCGAGACATCTCAAAGCGCTTCACAAAATATACTGTAAAGTGAATTGACTGTATATTTCGTGGATAAAATGAACAGATGCAGATGATTGTGTGTTTGCAGATATATCATGAGAATTGTAATATTATCAAGGAACGATTGAACAAACTTGGAAGACTCCTTGTCCATTCCTCTTTAGAAAAGAGCAAATTAGAAAGTTTAGTTTTGGAAAAGAATGCAAACTTGCAAGCTTATTTTAGTATTTTTTTAAAGAACACTTTAGTTAACCGAGCATGTTTAATGTGAACATGAGGCCTACTTCATGTTATGTCTGCTAATTTTGGATTTTGTGCATTTGCAGTAAATGTTGATGTGTATTTCGTGGGTCAATTACTTACTGAGTTTGTCTACATTTACTTTACAGTAAATCCTGTGAAGTGTTTTAAGATGTTTCAATGAAGTGATAACGAGCTGTATGAAATTGAAAGGGTATCAATAATGTTGTCTAGCATAAAAACATCTATGCATTTCACCAAAGCAAGACACTTGGTTCAGCTTGACCTAAATATATCATGTGAATCTCCTCTGCCGAAAAAAATACTGGATATATATTAGCATGCCAGCTTAAGAGATGAACTTAATTGGTGCCGGCTGTAGGTCTAAATCCTGAAAGTTAGCATTCAGTTACGATGACCCTAGAAGCAACTAAATCCAGAGATCTTGTAGGGGCTGAAGTGTAACTGTTGCTTTCGATCTTGGCTCAAAGTCAGTTGTGAAATGACCCTTTGAAAACTGCAGTAGTGATGAAGTACTTTGAGACATCCTCCTGATGTGAAAGGAGCTATATAAATGTAAATTGTATTGTATTACACAACAAATCATCGGTTATGATTGAGGATTTCTCTTAACCCTGCAATTTACAGGATTAGAATGAGGCTAATTTTAGAATCTTTTTCAAAAAGCACGAAATCTGTGCAAAAATTTAAATTTCAGAAGGTGGAGGATTAAAATAGGTCACAAAAAGTTTTTTGAGCTGATTTGAACTCGATCTTTCATAAACAAAAGGGATACGATTATAATTGGAGCTATATTGTAAGATAGCTCGCTGATTTCTTCAAGTTATATGGTTTATTGACCTGTACAGCAAATTGTTGAATGTCCGTCGCAAATGTCATAATTGACTGTCTTGAATATTACAGACATCACTTTCATTTTCCAGTTATAATGGCATGAACTTTGTGAGAGGATCATATATTTAAAATGTACACGATACGGTGGCTTGAAATGATCAAGCAGCAGTGTCTGAGGTAATTATTCTTAGTTTAGGTAAAGTTAGAAACTATCTTTGGAGAGAGATGTTAGTTCTTACTCAAGTTGGGCTTCACAACAACTTAATGCATATGCATTAGCAGACGTTTTGAATTCTCTCCTCACTCTGGTAGCTGTCAGCCAAAGGACCCTGAAATGTCTAAATTCAAGACTTAATTAAGTCTTGACTTCCGGACAGAAGGATGTGACGCTTTGAATGTAATAATCCACGAAGAATTTGTCAGTGAGCTCAAAGTCCCAGGTTTTTGGATAACATGGTTATATTGAAGTTGTAGAAGATTGAAGAAAAGTGGTAACTTGAGAACATTTTAAACATCTGTCATTGTAAATTTGTGAAGGCTCCTGTGTAATTCCTTTCCCGGTTGACTGCTCTGTAACAGACTCT